AAGCTCATTTACTTGTGTTTGTGTCGACACTCCAACTTGTTCAATCAGGTCACACTCGAACCAAACTTCCATATATCTGTGAACTTGCTTCGATTGTACTTTTGTTCATTTGTATCTCTTTTCAACAACTCTTTTTCACTTCTTTTGTGAACCAAAAAAAAGGTAACAATTGTGATGCTTAATATGAAGATAATTTAAGAATACTTACAGAATATATGAGTCACAAATGTAATCATTTATTTATTTTGAAGGCAACAAAATAGTCCAAACACTCACAGTCACCGACCTCTTACGTTATTTATCGAAAGGTGAAAATGGACCAACAACTACTCCTCCTAATCCCTCTATATTGTCTCCTCATGAAAATAAAGAAAATATTCTATTTTGTATGATCAACCATGGGAAGTGAAGTAATAAACCCGACCAAGCCAAGGTTCGATCTAACCATGTCGAAAAGAACCCGAAAACCATGGTCAAGTCTCATCAACGATATGCATCACCAAGATACCCAAAGCTCACAACTGAAACCAGATAAAGAACAAGACAAAGACCAAGAGATTGATCGTAAGAGTTTGAACAATCTGATGAGGTGCGAGGAAGAATCGAATGGAGAAGCTAATGTTAACAACAAGAGCTCTCTCGGGGACAACGAGGGGATCAATCAGATGATGCAATTGGTGGTTAAGAAAGAGAAGCAATATGGTGAAAATGGAATGAAATTCAAAGGTATGATGGGTCGATATGTTAAGGTCTTGAGCAGTTTGATAAAAGCCAAACGTGACCGCAAAAGATCGGTCGTCCGGTTTAAAACTTGATTTCGATTGTATAGACGCATGTTTCATGTCGTGATCACATTTTATACAACAACAAAAAAATGTACGTGTTCACTTATACTTATATTGAACAATTTAGTTACATAAAATATGTTTCACGTATCATTGATGTGCACGTATGCTATTGGCAAATTGGTTTTGAGAATGTAATAATTAACACTATACATGCACCTTGGGTTTGAATCTCATTGCACGAGTTTTGTTGTTTATTTCGAGCTCTTGCCAAATTTTCTTATACAGTTCTACTTCTCCAGATATTTACAGACTCGTTACGCCAGAAGATGAACTTAGGTTTAATTATGACTCACTTTAAATATTTTGCTCATGTTAAAACTCTAAAATGTTAAAGAAAAGCAAAATATGAAAAAGTAATAAAATGAGAGTGTGACAAAAAAAATAAATAAATAAAATGTGAGTAATTTTTGGTATGACCTACATGCAATTTTTAAATATGAATTAAAAAATATATAAATTTAAGGCTATAGATACCAAAATTAAGTACTGTTCATCATAGACTACTGTTCATCCAGTATGACCTACATGCAATTTTTAAAAATATATAAATTTAAGGCTATATATACCAAAATTAAGTACTGTTTTTGGTATGAGTTATTTTTGGTATGACCTCTTATATATATGAATTAAAAATAAAAATATGAATTAAATATATGACCTTTTTTCTCA